TAAGCAAAAACACTTAGAAAAAGATCAGAGGGAGGACAGACAACAAGTGGAAAACACACAAACATAAAACTGATTGTGTGTGTGTGTGTGTGTGTGCCTTAAATTTTCCCCACTACAGCCCCAATTCCACCCAGAAGAGTAGATTCAGAACCGACGCAGCTTTTGTCCTATTGCAGACCATGAGAACACTTGAGTTGAGACATGCCAGCGGGATCTCAGGCAGGTCATCACATGAGCAGATTTCATGAGTTTCCATAGTATTTATTCCCTCTCTATGGGAAGACAACGAAGGGGATTGATCCAAAGCAAGGGTGCTTAGCTGTCGCAGAATTTGGTCTGCAACACAGCGCTCTCGCATGTTAGTCTATTAGCCTGAGGTCTATTACCCTCCTCAGGCCGCTGTTGTCGTTCGTCTGGCAAGTGCCTGACGGGGCATGCGGGACATGCTAGGGGAGGATGTAACGGATGTGATGGCATTGGGGATAGTCAACGCAATAGAGACACATACTTTCCATGACAGCTTCCTGGAAACATTGACAACACATAGCCTGTTGCCGTGTGCGTTGGATTTTCACCACAAGAATCCCTAATCCACCCAGATTTATAGAACCAAAGTCGAAGCAGCTTTGCAGACAACGAAGCACACTTGAGTTGAGACATTCCAACAATGAAACAGTTTTACCGCTATAGCAAGGAACATGAAGCGCAACAAATCCGTTGAAGCGTGCTTGTCAACATCCCCAAACTCTCTCTCATGTGTGTAATCAGCAGCAAGACCGTGTGTGTGTGTGTGTTTTGAATTTTCACCACAACAGCCCCTATTCCACCCAGATGAGCAGGCGACTCACGTGAGCAGATCCAAAATCAAAGCATAAATAATGCATTCCTATTGCTGACAACCAAAAAAAAGCCCTTGAGCCCTTGAGTTGAGACAATCCAACAAGGAAGCAGTTTCACCTCTATAGCAAGCAACATTGAGTATAATAGAGGCATGTGAACCCCTTGCTTAGATGTGATCATGTTTGCTTTCTTTGGGGTACCCCTTTCATTTGTTCTTGCAGCTCCCCCTTTGCCGTGCCTCTCATGTACAAGGCTCGCCACGTTGATCGTGGTCGAGCGCGACCTGCCCACATCCCCCTCGTGTGCCATAACAGCCCACTTGTACACTATGAAAGGAGGCAGAGCAAAGGTGGAGGTATATTCCTGTCCATTTCTTCTCAGATGTTCCACTTATATTCTGTCTGTTCTCTTAGCATTGCTCATTCGTATGTATTACGGGGTAGTAATGCAGTCGAGGAGAGGAGGAAACGGGAGGTGGAGCACTAACAGATTTCTAAGCACTGACCGCTGGGGCAGACCACTCCAGAATGGCACATGAGGTCAGTCAGTGTGTGGGTAACAGTGGGTTGCATAAGATTTGAGGGGCAATTGTTGCCAGAGCAGCAAAAAAGAGAGAAAATTTGCTGCAAAACCCTGCTAATGGAGGTATTCCTGCCAATGAAAACATAGTAATAGACATTGTAATAGCTTGCCTGTGAGAAAATTCCTAGCGCTGGTGAACGGGTCGCTTAAAGCAGGATGGAAAACCAATGTAGGCGAAGTGCATATCCCCGGAACTCCACAAGCTCTTACGAGCCTGTGCTTCGTGCCTAAGCGGCCACCTCTACAGACCGGGCAGGACCGGTTCGGATGTGGCCTGTGGAAGCACCACATCGGCGCATCCAATTCTCACACTCATCTCCGAAGAGTTGTTCAGGGCGCTCAGCGTCGTGCCATCACCGGGATATTTCGGAGAAAAGAGTTACTGCATCGAATAGCACGGCTTATAGACAGATGTCACAACAGGCTACGGGGCTCCTACATGCTAGGAACACAGACTCTGAGGCATGTCGACCGCAATTATAGAGGCATTGTCGTTCCAGCCCGTCTACAAATTGGACATGACATGTCGGGGTGCCCTAAACGAGTGCAGTGTAGGCTGTCATCATACATATGAAGACAAAAGCTCGCCCAGCCTATCCCTTCATACTCCTCATGGCGTAAGGCATGCGAACCACATGCTAGCTGAATCCCCGGTGGGTCATCACAAAGCGGCATGGAACAAGTTTCTTGGGTTTCCTCAGTATTTATTCTTTCTCTATGGGTAGACGACGACGGGATAGATTGATCCAGAGCAAGGGTGTTCAGCTGCGGCAGAATTTGGTCTGCAACAACTCGCCCTGGTGGAGACAACCTATCAGTACAGCGCTCTGTAAGTGGTTTATATGGTAATTTATTTTCCTCCTCAGGCTGCTGTGCCCGTCGTTCGTCAGGCAAGCAAGAAGAAATTCCAACTGCGGTTGCAGTAGGTGTATGACCGACACCACATGTGGGAGATGCTAGGAGAGGATGTCGCGGATGATGGCACTGGGAATGGTCCACGCAGTACAGACGCATACTTTCTATGACAGCTTCCTGGAAACATTGACGACACATGGCATGCTGCTGACATGTCATCAGCAAAGAAGGCTGATGTGCGCAATTATTCAGCATGGCAGATCCACATCACAACGGCATGCTGATTCAGACGCGAAGCGTCTGCTCTTCGAGACGGGCAAGTAATCAGAAGGGGGGAGGGGGGGGGGAGGGGGG